CGAGTCCTTAACATGTAGCCCGACAGTATTCACCTTGAGCTCGTCCTCAGCAGGGGTATCATAACCCAGAGGCGTGGAGCCATGCGTATGTAGCTCATCGGTGCCGTCCGGTTTCTGGGCAAAGTAAGCGCCTAGCCGCTCGATATTCAAACAAAGCAAGTGCAATGCAGCCTCGGGCGAAATATCAAACACGGCGGGGGTCAGCGACGAATCAGAATTGTCGGCAGGTTGGTGACGGCCAATATTATCCAACGGTGAGCCGAGCTTCAGCATGGTTGGCGCGGGGTTTGCATTTTGGTTGGAATCTGTGTCTTGGGACACGGACATGGTTGTGGTTTGTGTTACGGCGGTGGCCATTGTGTGCGCGTGTGGATTGTCTTCACTGCCACGCGCAGGCGCGGGCCTGGTATGGGTTTGCGAGTAGAGCGCACCTGGACCTTGGGGTGGATGGTGGCTCCCTGGCTGGGTATCTCATTTTCCAACGAGTGGTGTCTGGCCTCTGTTGGGACCTGGGCTCGATTTGTGGCGCGGATCTCGGACTCGATCACGGGGGAGGGGAATAGGGAGTTGAGTGCGAGATATGACCGATGGGGTTTGCTCTTTGTAGAGTTGTTTAGTGGGGTGAGAGTGAGAGTGGTAAGTTGTTTTGGAGTTCTATATGAAATGAGAGCCTGACGATTGACTTCCAAAAGTATTAAGCTCACTCTGAAACCTGATATATATATATGCGAATGAAAGGTTGAATTGAGGATTGAAATGAATTCAATTCAAAATAAATCAACAAATCCAAGTCCAAGAAAGGAGAATAGCGAGAATGGCAAAAGGGGAGATAAGAAAGTTGGCACATGTGACCTTTGACCTATGGGAATCTATGGACTATGGACTATGGACTATACAACGTATAAAGTACAACAGATCATAACATTTCCCTCAAAACCAGAAAACCAGACTTAAAACGCCTATCCGTATATCCAAACTCCATACAAAAAAAAATAGCAAAAAAATTCACATACCAATCCTAGCACCCTCTCCACGACGGTACAAGTTGTATGCACGATTGACGGTCAGATTACAGACGCGATAACCCCCGTTATAGCCCAATAGAACTCTTATGTCAATGTTTGAGGTGTCTCCAATCTGACCGACAGCCGCGCTTACGTATCGTACCGGCATCAAGAGCCTGCTAGGATTGGCAGTGTGATCCTCGAGTCTGATGCCGGGAATAGGAGGCCAAAAATCAAAATCTTCAGTCCGGCTTCAACCTGTAGTCTGTTGAAAAACGAAAGGAAAGACAGCCTCGACAATCAGGGGAGCTGGTTTATCCATCAATATCTGCGAATGCCTCGATATGCTGGGTCACCGGTAAAGCTATAGATGCGAGAGACCTAACGCGGCTGGAGCAACCAAAATGCTCGATTCTAGAACCAGGGGTATGGCCCTCGTCTGCATTGTCCAATGACACGCTGACTCGAGCTTGAAAGTTGATGCAAGCCCTGGTGAATGACTTTCGGTTCTCTTGTTTCGTACCGAATACCCACAGGGCTTGAGTCCCGGGTGTTACGGGGGCCTCGCGACGAATAATGTAACGGATATCTGAATTCATATTCGTCGCTTCGCGAGAAACCCTGTGCCGGGTACCTAGTTTCATGCTCGTGATCAGAGTCCTCGAACCGTACACGTTTGTGTGTTCTGCTGTAACGCGGCTGTCGTGTCTCTAGTTTGACCGATAATCGTACATTCGAATCATATCTTCTTCTAGCAAAATTAGAGGCCATTTCATAGTCTGGGGGATCAACCACAAAGAGTCTGGAAGGCGGTTCATAGGCTGGTAGTGCATACCGTGAACCGAAGTCGCGAACAGGTTCTGATCTATAAACCAAATAGGAAGGCTGGGGTCTCATATTTATCGAGTGTAGGTATGTGCGCTGCCGTGTTCTCTGTCTTCTGTCAATTTTTGGTTCTTGATACTCGACGGAATCCGAAGATAACTCGAGGGCAATGAAGTGATAATAAATGATCCTTGAACAATGCATCTGGAAACAAAGACACCTTGGAACAAGGGAGTTGTTGGGGGGAAAAAATAGACGGAGAAATAAAGAAATTGGACTCGACGAACCTCATTGATTACAGCACGGGCGAATTGTTGGGCGCAGTATGTATAAGACATGTGAACAATGGCAAAAGCAGGTGACTCCTTTCAAAGAGTAAAAGATAAAGAAGGATTGGTATATATTTGGCTGGAAACCAAGAACATTTGACAAAGGTGGTCTTATATAGATTGAAAACAAAGAGCTTTTTATATTAGACCATTCGACAATGAACATGGATTTGAAGGCAACATCTCCTTGAAGATAGAGGAGCTATAATGAAGTAATTAAATATTGACTCTCTCTCTCCAAAAGCCGAATAATACCAACCCGAGGTCACCAGGGCGCAGTTCAACGAGTCAGCGGGGTTGAAGGCCAGTTGCCTGGTGACAAAAATCCATGTTCAACCCTCTTCCATCACAGAGGAATGCAAAGTTGGAGTTTCATCTCTATGAAGAGGTCATATCAAAAAATGGTATAGTGTGATTAGGGTGCTCAAGATACCCGTGGACAACGTAGAACCTGTTATTGTCCATAGCACAGCCAACCCTTTTTCGGAGAATAGTACAATGACGGGCATCACTGCCTAAAATATTCACTGCGCAACATTATTCAGGAGTCTTCAAGTCATCCATCATAGGTGAAGGAATCCGTCAGCCACACACCGCCAAAAGGCGTCAAATCAGAGGTCAAGCCACTTTGGCGCTAAAAAAAACCAACTGCGATTAAGAGCCAACCATTGACATCTTCGACTGCGACATCAGACCAACATTTCATGCATGAATGCGCAGGTCCATAGAAACAATAGAACCGTGAAGAAAAAGATGGGCCTGGGCAGCAAAGCTTCGCCACGATTCCTATGTCCACCTCTCAATTAATCTATCCTGGTTGCTATCACGCTGGTGGAGAACATCCAAATTGAGCTTTTGGACCCCATTTTGAAGACTTGTAAGTTCTTTCTCAAGGCCCGAGAGCGCTGACTCCTCTGAAAGATCGCGCATGGATGTTTCATAGTGAGAGTTGGCGTGTAATGAGTAACGAAGAAGCTGGGATGCATTATCCAACGGTGCCAAAGAAGTCACCAGAGGAGCGTCCACCGCTATATTGAGGCTGTGAAGTGCTTCGGAAATGTGATATCGCTTCTCATGGAGATCACCAACCCCTCCATTCTCACGGGGGTGGAAGATTGATTCTGGCGGTACACCAACACGCCTCAAAAGTCTTTCTAGTGAGGGTTGGGCAACTACAGGCGCAGTGGGCGTGCGGGTGGCAAAAAGGAGGCCTGGCTGTAACGATCGGCGTCGCAGAGACTCCCGTCGGGATGATGGCTGTGTGACGAGTTCGCTGCCTGCTTCGGATTGATATAAGGCGGCTAGCTGTTCTAACAGTTCCGAGGACGACTCCCGGACCCCGAGTTGGTTGGTGAGATCTTGCTTTACCAAAGTCATCTCAATCAACATGTCGAGTGTCTAGAAGGAGGAGTCAGTTCATTTCCTGATCAATGGCAGTGCCGAGGTATAGCCCCATACCTGTTCCAGTTTCTCCTGTGACGCCACTCGCAGTTGATCATGCTCGTTCTGGAGTTCATGGAGGATAGGCTCATGGAACTGCTGCCTGGTCGACATTTCTGCCAAGATTTCGATCTCCGGATACAGAGATTCTAGTTCTTCCTCGAGGGCAGTGCTCGTTGCCCCATCCATAACTTCGGAATTGGAGCCGCCTGCGTGAATTGTTTCCAGGTATAGTCGATCGAGACGGTAGTGTATTTCCTCCGCCACGTAGTCTGACAGCATCGAACTAAGCTGGTTCGTGCGCTTGACCGTAGATGCATCATTCCCACGATACTTGATACTGGACATGAGCGTTTCCAGACTCGCGAGCGCCTTGTCGTCCTGCTTCAACCGGGTAGACAGAGAAGCGAGTATTCTCTTGCTTTCCGCGGCCGACTTGTCCGTCGCGGTTTTAAAATCGGCCTCCAACTCATCGGCAAGCTCAATTGCCTACGTAGAATCAGGATCAGCAACATGCGACGGTTCGTAACGGACATGCCCCTACCGCCATCGTAGTATTTTGCCTCCCCGCTTCATGTTTCTTTTGCAACCGAGCGATATCTCGACTCCGCTGCTGCGCCACATTGTTTTCCAGACCCAATTGCTTATTGAGGCTTGCACATTGGAATCTCAAAGTCTCGGTTTGTTTTTGAATATTTGCCGTTGAGGCTTCGAGGGACTCGATCGCGTTGCGGATTTCGTCTTCGAGGATAGGCCGGGTTGCGCCGAGGTCTGGGTTGCTGAGAATAGGTTGAAGAGCGCCCGAGTTTTCGAGTTTGAGGTACCTGTCTCTAGTTAGTGATGTCTTGTCATTATATAGCTGAGACGTACAACGCGAGCTCATCTTTTGATAGCAGAGTGTCCGGGCGGAGATGCTTGGAGGCCCATTGCAGATTTCTGTCATCCCCAAATGTCGACTCGATTACCTCCCGCTTGGCTAGGATATTTCGATCCTTGAGAATTGATATGAGCTTGTCGGTGATAGTGTCTTCCATTGTTGTTTTTGAGCGGTTGTGATGTGGAGAGACCTGATAAACAAGGAGCTCTGAGAGTGGAGCTCCGACGGCTCTCTCAGTCTGGGTACGAGGTACGGAGTATATATTTTTAGTTTCAATTTGGGGGAAGAAACATGATTGTTATAATGTCTATTTCTATATACAATACTCTGCCTTTGACATAAATTCATCTATACTATGAATACCTTTCAGGAGAGCGACCAAGAGCCTGCCTAGGAACCATTACCATGGGGTCAAGCCTGGTGTGATCTGTAGTGAACTGGTCAAACAGGATGTCTGCCGAGGCCCTCGCACCAAAACATCAAGTTTCGGTTTTTCGCATCTCCTTTCCTTCAACTTACGCCCACATGTTCCGAACTCTGTGCTTTCCCAAGGCTTTGATTCGACGCAGTGTCGCTACACGGGCAAAAATGCTGTCCCTGCAGAGTCTTCCCGATGAATTGCTGCTCAAAGTGATCAACAAACCTTCGGTATACGACGTCATGGCCTTGTCGCAGCAAAGCCATGGAATACATGCTCTATGTGATGTGAAAAATCGTCAGAAATATCATCAATTGAAGTTCGGCCGAGAGAAGTACCCGCAGACCCATGAAGCTGTACTCCAAGCTGGCCGAGACACATTACTTGCCATTTTACGAACTCCCTCCCTTGGACATTATCTTCGTCGTGTAGACCTGTACGGAACTGGAATGATTGAGTTTGATCCTGTCTCCGAAAATTCCATCCAAGATTCTATGCTTTCCCCTGAGGACATCGACAGACTCAAGCAAGCAATCCGAGGCGCCGGCTTCCAAGATGCACAGGAGCGCGAGTCAATTTTATCTATGCTTTCACGAAACCCTGCTAAATTCCAGTAAGCTTTATCTCTATCTAAGAATATCTCATCCGCTTTTGCTACTCACTAGCAATATAGATCTGATTCAAGCACGGAAGCACTTCAGTTCAAAGATGCCCTCATTACGCTCTTAGTTGCAGCTGCCCCGAATCTTGAATTCATTTCAATGTATCCATTACTGTAATACATTCGATCTTCATCTGCTAGGAATTATGAAAGGGTGAATCTTCTCCAAAGATTGCTATATCGGGCCTCTACGTCTACAGAGTCGGTGCCTTACTGCCAAAATCTACGGAATATTAGCTTCCACCCAGACAATAAGCTTAACGAATCCAATAAGTACGTTGGAGACCCATATTATCATCGGCTTAATATGGTCCGTAAACTACCGGCTATTGAATCGGTCGCTTTTAAGCTGGTAACGTGGAGCAATGAAGTCGGAATACCACCTCCTCCAACTATAGCAAGGTCAGCTTTACACATTCTATAATGGAAAGTTGGGATCTTTGCCGTATCATCAAATCCGCTAAGACCTTGAAAAGTTTCACTTCTACTATCGGTGGTCGTTTATACCCTGGGGGTGGCAACTCCGTGTTATACGTGACTCCGATATTCAAGTCACTTTGGACGCACCGCCAGACTTTAGAGGAATTGAATCTGGATATAGAGAGCCAGATACCTCGACAAGAACTATATGATAAGGAATATCAACCCCGCCAAGAAGATAGGATGACCGAAGAGGACCGAAAAGATTATAAGGAGCAATGGGCAGACGAGCTGCAGGAGCTAGCCGCCCCAGAAATCGCACCCGTGCGTGTCTCCCTGAAAGACTTTCCACAACTCAAGAATCTCAGTATTAGAGCCCATACGCTATGCTATCTAGCTCGAGGTGCAGGAGATGGCAAGAAGCAGCTTGACTCAAAGTCTTTCAACCTTGTTGGTCATATCCCGTCTACTCTTGAGTCTCTCCGTATTTACGGGCTCGGAGAGCCCGTGGATAGGAGTACCCCCTATCTGGATTACGAATCTGATCTAGATGTCGATGCCCAAATTGAGCAGCTGGCGCGTGAGAAAGATGCCAAACTGCCAGGACTGAAGATTTTTGAAGGCGTTGACCCTTGTATTCCAAATGGCAGGACTGTGGATGAAGGGGCGGATGAAGATGATCTAGATCTTTTCTGGAAAGATCCAGATGACACCAGGTTTGATGAGGTTGATGCCGACGTTTGATGATACTGTAATGTCAATCTATAGTATCAATGCTGTCACCAGTGTACATTAGTCCCTACGTACAATAATCTATGCGCGCTAGGGCCTTGGGGGTGGGGCCAGAAAAAGAGTTAAACTGCGTAATGAAATGGATCTTCACTTCTGCCCTTTTCCTCTAGTCGCAACTGGCGGGAGAGAAGGTCATGGCGGTGCTGTAAGAGCTCTGTGAAAGAGGTCTGTTGGTTGCGCTCTTCTGCTTGTCGTCTCCCTGATTGCTTCTCGCATGGCCAAGGATGAAGATCGTAGATGGCAAATTGGGTCCCAGGGACCGGATGACGGTAGAGCTGCACTTCTTTATAGGTCAATAATATATATGCCCGCAGAATATAAAGGCATTCAAGTAAGAAAAGAGTAACAAAAATAGTGACCCGAGGATGTTAAGTGTCAAGTAGGATATAGAAAGATTCTCATGATTTCAAGTTACCACTAACAATAGCCTTGAATGCATATATCATCGTTCATCAACTTGCTGTGGATGTTGTTTATGTTATATCAAGATCGGCAGATCAACCGGGGAAAAGAGACCGAGAGCCAAAATGCGGCTGCCTGTGGCTGAGTAATCAGCTAAAAAAAAAGGAGCAATTCAAGATGTTAGAATCGACTTAGAAATCGAATTAGAATAAATTAAACTGTTACAACTTCATCCGGGTACAGAGAAGTGCAGAATACACACAGCATAAGTGTCCCTGCCGACGTGTCTCTCGATTAGCGTCTCCGCAAATCCGAGTCCGCCTTTTTCGACCTTCCAACTCTCTGCCAATCTGTTTACCCATTTACCATTTACCTCTAACCGTCTTTTACACCTTCTGCGCTGCGCTTTTCGAACAAATTATTTAAACCTAGTGGATGCGCCGGCGACGGAACCGTGATGTTCCTTTAGACTACCGTGCCAAAACAGTCCAGTCCTCGAATCGAGCCTCCTTTCCAGCCCCCGAGTGGCATTCGATACATATTTGACGGTAGACAACCCAAAATGTCTGCCAAAACCTCTCCAGAATCCCAGGGCCCAAGCCCGGGCCAGACCTCCGTTTCCACCTCCCCCTCGAATGGCAACGGCACACCCACGCCAAACGATGTGGAGATGAAGAGCTTGCGCCCTGATCCCCCCAAAGGCTCAATTCCTCCGGGGGAGGATATTATGCAGTTGGCTCGGATGGGGGAGATTGGCACTATGCAGAAATTGTTCACGGCCAAAAAGTTCACCGCAAACCACCGCGACGAGGAGGGGATTACACCGCTGCATGTTCGTTACAACCCAGCGCAATGTACAACAGGGATCTGCTCGCTGACTGCATTATTTCTCTCTAGTGGGCCGCAATCAACAATCAATATGCGATGTGTAGATTCCTGATCGACTCCGGGGCCGATGTCAACGCAAAAGGAGGAGAATCGGTGGCAACACCAGCCATGTGGGCTGCTCAACGGTGTCATTATTATATTGTGAACCTCCTGCTCCAGAATGGAGGAGATCCTCTCTTGACGGACGTCCAAGGATACAACATCCTACACCTCGCGACCATTGATGGCAACGCTTTCTTAGTCGTACTGCTTCTACACCAGGATATCCCCGTGGACGTTGTTGACCAACAAGGCCATACTGGACTAATGTGGGCTGCATACAAGGGGTATCCTGCATGTGTGGACTTGTTCCTGCGATGGGGTGCCAATGCAAATGCCGTGGACGAAGGTGGCTTGACCCCGCTTCATTGGGCGCTGGTCAAGGGCTCGATGCCATGTGTCCTGAAGTTGCTCGAATACGGCACCGACCGCTTTGCAAAGACCCGCGATGGAAAATCACCTGCGACTGTAGCGCAGGAGATGAACACCCTCCGGGTTTGGTACCGCTCGCTCAACGAGCGTGGCTTTGAACCTGATGGCACCCAAAAAGTGGTGCCTCTGGGACTTTCAAGCTTTGTACGCAACAAGAGCATCATGGCTAAGTTCTTCTTCCTCTGGCCCTTCTTGATGATTTTGGTTACCATCTGGATGCTCAGTAACCTGGCGATTTTCGTTGCTGTGCCCCTCGTGTTAGTGACACTTTTCGGGATGCAGTATGTTGCACAGCAATTTGCGAACAAGGGGCCGATGGAATATCGCGTTCTGCAGAAAACACCGTATCTAGCTGGTGTATTTGCAGGTACGTTGTTCTGGGTTGGCTTCCGCTATGCTTTCAAGGTCCTGCCAGCAACCTACTCATCATCGCCGATTCTGAACATCTTGTTTGCGGTCTTTTTCTGCTTGACTGGTTATTTCTACATCTTCTCCATGGTCCAGGACCCGGGCTATGTGCCGAAAGTGAGCAGCAGGAATCAACAGAGAGAGATTGTCAAGGAACTGTTCCAGCAGTGGAAATTCGACGAAGAGAATTTCTGCATCCCCTGTATGACAAGAAAGCCACTCCGGAGCAGGCACTGTCGGCGTTGTGGGCGCTGCGTTGCGAAACATGATCAGTATGTGTCTTGATAAATTTCTACTGGTTCTGATCACTAATTCTCGAATAGCCATTGCCCGTGGATTGACAACTGTGTCGGAGCGAACAATCTCCGCCATTTTGTCCTTTATATAGTCTCCCTTGAAGTTGGCATCATTCTGTTTGTGCAGCTGACTATTGTCTGTGAGTACTCGTGGGGAGGGGAAATATTGCCTAGGATCAGTCAACTAACATGATACAGATATCAATTCTCTGCCCGCCCCTACCAATGCTACCTGCAATGTCATCAACGACACACTGTGTGACTACGCCTCTCGGGACCCCTTCACTCTGATTCTTAATGTGTGGATTACCCTCCAGCTGGTCTGGGTCACGATGCTGTGCGCCGTACAGCTCGTCCAGATCTCTCGCAACCAGACAACCTACGAGAACATGCGAGGTCACCACATCGACCGGTCCTACCCAAGCTCCCAAGCCTTTGCATCGGCCATGACCGCCGGAACCACGTCAATGGAAGCTGCTGGTCTTTCGGCTTCCGGACAAGGACCCAACCCGGCCCTCGGCGGCCCTCCCCCACACCGACGGAAAAACGGGTGCATCCAACAATGGTCATCTCTCCTTGGATTCGACGCGTTTTGGACAACCGCCAAGGATGGTCTCCGCGATGGACCCCAGGCGGCTCGCCCCCGCAACCCCTTCTCCCGCGGTGTCGTCACCAACTGCCGCGACTTTTGGTGTGACCCAGCTCCACTCTTTGGTAAGCGCCAGACTGGGGCGGCGATGCTCGGCGGTGAGGTAATCAACTACCACGATATGTATGAAACCCCCATGCGCATGCACGCTGGCAACCGGTCCGGCGATGGACCTGGCTACCGCAGCGTTGCTGGCGAGGACCCCGAACGCATGGTGTAAGCTGAATCTGAGATCTGAGCGTGTTTGCATTTGTTTTCGATTCCAGATTCTGCATGAATATCCTTGTACTCTTGTGTTTTATTATGCAAATCAGCGCGGTGTTGCATTATTGGGGCACGTGGCACGAGCAAACGTTTTGCATTTTGCATTTAGAAAGGATCCTGTACAGTTGATGTCAGACATTAATGATTTCTTTTACTATATACTATTCATGGGAGATGACTTGGCTTTTTAGCAACAGGAACAATCAGTCTTGACTCTAGTGACTATCGGATATACATGACAACATGACAACCCACTTAATGTCTAAGGTCCTCAACCTCGACCCTCCCCGCAGTTTCACATTTCCATCAGATAAGATAGATGGTTTTCCTTGGCTCTGCAGTAACCCTGCAGTGGCCCTGCAGCTTATCACCAACACGCTGCATAAAGCCCGAGTTCCGGATCTTCTCTCGGCGTTTCTGGAAAGATACCTACCTGGGAAGGGCAGTCCTTTCCCGTCCGAACGGGCCGATTGGTGCGTCCAACTGGGTCTAGGTCCAGGTATGTATTGATCGGTTTATGCATTACATTACGCATTACACGAGTGTGTGAAACGTACCTGCATAGGAGCTCTGGAGGTGCATATGCCAGCGCACACTAGGTGGCAGGGTACTTCTGTAGCTTGCGATCCTGACACGAGGATAGCGGCAGTAGTGACTCCGGGTGTGCAACCTTGGCTGCAGGGTTGCAGCCTTTCAGGGATGAGGAATGCTTGACGACCGAGGCTCCAGTGTGGCCTGATCTTTCTCGGTGAACTTGGACTCTCTAATGATGTGGCGGTCAACCGATTATAATTGGTTTCTTGGCTGGTTACACCAGGTACTGTATACTGTGCTAGGGCTGTCGCCTCCCTAAACTTGCCTAGACACATACAGAATAGGCAATAGATAAAACTTTATTGTTCGATATAGGGTCCATTCAACGGCTTTCAATACTGGAGCCCGAAACAAGTCCGAGTCATATAACCCCAATCTGAAACCTACCTCGGTAGGGAGACGAAGGACAGGACCACGGGGGCGAGACATCAAATAGTTAGTTTCCACTCTGGAGACATCCGATATCGCCGAAGAGAGAGCCGAAGCTCTGTGGGAAATTGGGGAAAGATCTAATCTCTCGGGTACCGGCCTAGTCCATGGACTTATGGAGACAAACACGAGGCATGTGCATGGGTGTTATGGGGTCTTTGGCAGAATACAGCATATGTTACGTAAATCAGACAATTTGGGTATATATGCTAGTTTATTCAAGGGAAAAAGGGTGCAGGATCTACATGTGCTGTAACTAGATTTACATTTTATATCGTACGATGCATATGGAAGCGCGGTTTCCGAATGAAAAGAATAAAAAGATAAAATTACCGATTTACCGATTTACAGAATGACGAATTTATGAAAATACCAAGTCATAACAGTGCGTATGCAGGCTCCATCTCGCTAAAGACTCGACTAGGCAGGTAATGGAGCTCTAGGAAGCCACTTTTACTTAGTGCGGAATTGGGAATTCCTATGAATTGTACATTGTACTGTATATTGTATATTGTACTCCGTACATATGAAGAGAATTGAAATTACGGTCA